TGGCTGTCGTTAGAGCACTCCAGCATTGAAATGTGAATAAATCTATTGTGTCTCGTACCATCGCTCGTTACAGTGATACTGCTAGCGTAGCCCGACGTCAAGGAAGTGAACGGAAGAAAACAGCAACATCAGCAGAAATGGTTCAAAAAGTAAAGAAGCGACTTGATCGAAACCCGCGTTGCAATGGCCGAAAAATGGCCCGTTAGCGGAACATATCGAAATATTCTATTCCGCAAATATTGAAAAATGAGCTCGGGGTAAAGCTTTTGAAATTCCAAAAAGTGCAAGAACTTACACGGCAACAGAAAGAAAATAGACTCAAAAGAGCTAAAGAGTTGCTTCGCTTGGCCGAAAGTGGTGAACTGCCGAATTTGGTTTTCTCCGATGAGAAAACATACGTTGTCCAGCAGTTTGTAAACAAACAAACAAAATGATCGTGTTTACTTCCCAAAGAGGTCCGCTGAAAATGTGCACCTTCGGTGGAAATCATGCGCCGGACATGGTGATGGTGTGGGCCGCCATAACAGCCGATGGTCGCCCTCCGTCCGTATTAATAAATGCCGAATATTATCGCGAAAATATTCTGGAGGGTGTATTAAAGCCTTTGGTAGGCAAACATTTTGGCCGCAGACCTTTGACATTCCAACAGGACTCAGAACCATCGCACTCAGTACGCGCCAACCAAGAATGGTTACAAAATGAGGTTCCTCGCTTCATTTTCAGCGCACAATGGCCAACAAAATCTTCGGATAACAATCCGTTGAACTATTATGTCTGGAGTATTTTGGAAAACATCCTTGTTACCAAAGTGTCGATCACCTCAAGCATGCGCTTCGCAGGGAATGGCCCAAAATACCGCAGAGTAACGTTCGGGTAGCGTGTGATGGTTGGCCGTTTGAAGGCCGTAATTCGTGCCAAAGGTGTCTAATTTGAACAAATCTAAACTTATTTTAAAATTTGATGCTATTTCCGACATTTTTTGCTTTCACTCAATAAAAGTTAAAAAAATTTAAAAATTATGGCGTTTGACTTTGTTGTAGTTTTTTATCTCGCCCTTTAAAAACAATTTTTGGACAAATCTGTGGAAAACCGTTATATGGGGGCTATACCAAAACGTGGATCCATACATACTCAGTTCCGCCACCGAACCCTTTACGAACTATAAATACCAATTTTTAGACAAATCCAAAGCGTGGACCGAGATATATCATTTTCAATACCAACCATCCTATACACAATACAATTAGTGCTGTCAAATATTGAAGCTCTATGTCAAATGATGTGGGCTGTATCGTGATTTCAACAGACAGAAGGACATTGTTAAATCGACATAGAATTTTGTGCCGATCGTGAATATATAAATACTTTATGGGGTCTATGACGAATATTTAGGGATGTTACAAACGGAATGACAAGGTAAATATACTATATACACGTATTACACCATCATTCCACACTGAGACCAAGCTGCTGCCGTCGTTGGTAAATTCAATATCTGCACACTGGAAATTATATACCATTATACGCAGTAATTCCTGCAGACGTTTCGTCGACCAAATTCGTATGGTTTCATAGCCGGCCGTGGCAAAGACTGAAGAAAGATTTCTTTGAAAAAATAAATTTGTATTAAAAATATATATCTCCAAAACCAGAACCCCTTCTACATACTTGGGGAAAACAATATTGTGCACAGCTTCCCGATGTGAGGTCTTCAGCAGTTTCAAAGTAAACATTTTTATGTTCAGCAAATATATTTCATTGGCTTCCGTGGCAATGTAATATTCGATGGGTGTGATCTGAACCATTGAGGTTATTGCTCCATTGACTTTGGTTCTTTTGAGCTGGAAAGAAGACTCAGCTATAAATTTCTTTTTTATCACTTCCTCACTCCCATTACTCCTTCTTACCGTTTTCAACATGGGCCACGTGGGACTGGGATAATTTTTAAAACTTGTCTCCCGGATATCCTTTCGCTCCTCCACCAATTCCAACACCCCATCACCGGCACCCATTAGCAGCAGTCCGTCATCGACAATATAAACCACTCTCAAGCCATTTACATAACGATTACAATCTTTACCAAATGGTTTGCGGGGATTATGTGTGCCATATGCCCCCACCATAGAGGAAAATGTGCCCGCCTTTGTTACATTGGCCGAGTCGCAACAATTGAGAATAATTTTGATAACATCGCCACTAAATGTTCCCAAATAAACATATTCGTCACGAAGATCAATGGAAATGCTCGTATAACGTCGTTGATGTTTACCCACATACACATCGTGCACGTTGACCTTTTTCATCTCACGCTGTATACTCCAAATGCGAAGATGACCTAGTAGGGAAATATTAAATTTTCCGGGTTTGTTCTCAGTCTATATTTTGTCCCAAACTTACGATCTCCAGCTGTTATGAAGAACGATGGGTTATCCTGTAAAGCCCTCACAACTATGGCGTTACCATTAATGGATCTGGAAGCAACTGATCTACATATGGGTGTACTACAAGTAAGAAAATTGACAATTTAATTAAAGAAAACTAAGGCTATTTTAAACAATTTTGTTCTGCAAGACTTATAAAACTTACAGTGTTGCAATATCAAAAACTATTACAGAACCATCATCCCGACCACCAACTGATATTACATATTTATCATGGGCCGTAAAACAAATAGATTGGACACGGACCTACAACGAGATAAAATTAAAAATAAAAATTTATAGATATATAAAAATTTGTTTTATGAATTGAGTATTATATTTGGAATAGTCCTTTAAAAAATCGCGATTATAAATTTAATAGCCCTCAAAACTTTCCTTTAAAAAACCAACAAATATAGCGTTAATAGGGATTTTTATTAGTAATTGGAAATCAACTAATACTATTCGAATAGTGCTTTAAAAATGTTCTTTAAAAAGACCGCGATTGTAGGTCCTTAAATCCTTTCAGAAATCTCACTTTGAAATCCATGATAATTTTTACAAATCTCCTTTTTAAGTCCCTAATTATCCTTTTAAAATGGTAAAACTAAGGTTTAAAACTCTTTGAATAATGGACATTTTAAGTCATCAACTTACCTTATGCAAATCGTGCCGGGCCAATTCCTTGCGTTGTTCAAAGTCCCACAGAATTACATAGCCCCGACGCCTTATATTTGCCCCGACGCCTTTAATGCAGAGGGTATAGTTGTTTTTTTTTTTTTTTTTTTTTTTTTTTTTTTTTGATGAATAATTATTTTTTTGTCTCTGACTAAAATGAAGCTATGTGGAAGATGTTTACAAAAGTTCTCATAAAGTGCTGCCTTAACCCTTGAATGCGTTTTTATACCCTCCACATATAGAGTATGCAGGGAATACTAAGTTTTTCATTCCGTGTGTTACAAATCGAAATAATGGTTTTAGACCAAACAAAGTGTATATATTTTTGATCAGCATAAAATTCTAAGAAAAATTCACTGCCCCTAGCCCAAAATTGTCTGCGTAGGTCCAAGTATTACCTCATCTCTGTAAAATGGCACGTTTGTTCGTAATAATAACCAGCATATTAGTATTTTGATGGATTTCTTGACACATTTGATGGTAGTCTTAATAAACAATAATCGGCTTGCAATAATAGATCTATTTGGATTATATATTTTTCGTAAGAAAATATAAAAAAATAATTTTTCCCTAATGGTGGAGAGTATCAACCGATCAGATCCGCCGGAATTAACTGCTTCTTATACCCTTCACCAAGAAGGAAGCGAGATAGACCCACAGCTACTTATGGAGATCTTCATAGAATCACTTTCTTAGTCGATTTATGAATGTCAGTCCGTCCGTCCGTCTGTCCATGAATTTGCCAAACAATATTTGTTTGCCCCAAGCACGAAGCCTATTGAAATTGGTGAGAATCAACCGTTTTCGGGTTAAATGTGCACCAAACGGCTAATATCATCCCGAATTGAATGGATTTTGGCATATATGAACGGTATTAGTATCAACCGATCAGATCCGCCGAAATTAACTGCTTCTTATACCCTTCACCAAGAAGGAAGCGAGATAGACCCACAGCTACTTATGGAGATCTTCATAGAATCACTTTCTTAGTCGATTTATGAATGTCAGTCCGTCCGTCTGTCCATGAATTTGCCAAACAATATTTGTTTGCCCCAAGCACGAAGCCTATTGAAATTGGTGAGAATCAACCGTTTTCGGGTTAAATGTGCACCAAATGGCTAATATCATCCCGAATTGAATGGATTTTGGCATATATGAACGGTATTAGCTTAGAAGAATATGCATAATATGCACTCCACAAGAATGATATTTGGGCCAGATAACTTATGGAGAAATAACTTAGTCAAATTTTATGGAGATCGGATCAGATTAGGATATAACTCCCATACATGTCTTAAACTGACATCAGGTTTATTGTACACCAACTTTCCAATATCAGCTTAAATGGACTGAATTTTGGCAATTTCGACTGAATTCATCCTAGAAACGAGCCCTTCAAATTTGGAAAAATCGGTTCAGATATACCTATAACTCCCATATATATGTTTCATCCGATTTGGTTTAAAAGTCTCTCCCATGCGTAATATGCACTTGACTATTTGAAACCGAAAATGATTGAATACATTAAATAGGCAGTTCCTTTTCATGAAATATGGCAAATAAACTTCACTTTATAAAACTGCTAGCATTCCTCACTTTTACTAGATTTAGTTTTACACGACTGTCTTTGTTTGACATAATACCCTTTCAATACAAATATTCAATATATGCACCATATATGTGTATACCTTCACAACATGTTGCACTTTTTGTGAGAGTGTATTGTATGCCTTCCATACCATTTCCATTGCTGCAATATTTTGTATTTCCTTTCAGCGATTTTACAATTTTATTGCAATGCATTTGTAATATTTACTTGCGTAGTTGTGTGTGTGCGTTTCTCTTTTTTGCTTCCTCGCTTAGTATTTGAAGCCTTTTATCATTGGCTCAAAGTTCAACCGGTTACAATTTTTTCCATGCATCTCTCTCTCCGTGGAATAACGGAATAGAGTGGCATGTTTGGATAATGGCGGTGGTACGATCCAACAGAGGATATTTATTTGCATAGGTTAAAGGCGCCAAACCGTATTTTATTTACTATCATTTCCTTCCGTTTTTATTACACAAACAAGGGCCGCACACACACACACATACGCACTTACACGCACACACACCATTACCACATTGCCACTATAGCGGTTGCGAAACAACTCGGTTTCTCTGTTACTTAGGCTGAAAAAAAAAAAAAAAAAAGAATTGTTGTTGTTGTTATTTATTTTTTTGGCTTGAATTTGATTTCCAGCACCATAGACACTCTCCGGTGGGAGGGCGGACCGCAGGGAGGAGATTCGCAAACAAAAGTCTGAATAACCACACGAATTCAACCAGGCTAACAAATAGTCATTTGTTTGTACACGGTAAAACTTTTGTAATGAAATGTCCGTTTTGTTTGTTATTGTTGTCGTTGCTGCTATTGTTGTTGTTGTTTTTATTTGTTCAAATGAATTAACTTTAAATGTGGCACTAACTTTTGTTGCAATGTAAATGGTAATAAAACAAAAGAAGATGGAAAGGAAAAGAGGAAAAACAAAATAAAACAAAAACAAAACATGTTGCAATAATTGCAGTTGAACGATGTTGTCTTCAGATCTCAACGTCATCGTTTGCACACACACACATGCACACATTGGCTCTGGCCACACTACTGTGATGTTGAGTTGTTGTTGGTGAATGAAAATGCTGGCATCATTGATGTCCATCATCAACATCAACAAGTATTAAAAGTAATGAGCACAGCTTTAATTTCAATTACAATTCGCCTCGTGATGATGATGGTGATTTCTCTCAGCCAAACAGTCAACAGAGATTCAAGACAACTTACGGAGGGAATTGTTGAGGAACATTGACTGTTGCAAGTTGTCATAGTACTTTTTTTTTGGGCAAAGGTCCAATGGTGCCACCATCCTGATGTTGAGATGAGGATATAGAGTGAAATAGAAAGATATCAGTTCCATCACAAAATAAACCATTAATTTCTTGGCAAATATGATGCCAAGAATACACGTTTGAATTTTTCTTAAAAAAAATCTTAAATTTTCAAAAAAAAAAAATATATATATATATAAATGTAGGATTTATTTTATTTACTTATTTATTATTATTATCTTTATATCCTACAACACTATGTGTTGGAGCTATTATAAGTGTGATTGGGCTAAAAATTATGTAGCACCTCGAAATAATGGTTTCCAATATGGGGAACTAAATATGGATCTTCCTATCTCGCCGCGCTGAGTCGATCTAGCTATGTATGTTAGTCTGTCTGTCCATGTTTATTTGTATTCACTCTACAGGTCGCAATTATAGCCCGATCCTAACGAAATTTTTCATGGAGATGGGGTTAGGCTCAGAATAGAATCCTATTGTGTTGTGAAGATGATTGCACAATATTTAGGACCAGAAAAATTTTGAATCAATCGAAGTGGAAATTTGGATGGAGTTAGAGTTCAGGGCTGGACAGAAGCTAACGAATTTGGATGGTAATGGGACAATATTTAGCGGGTAAAATAAACCATAATTCCTTTGTCAAAAGATACGAAAATGTCCACTAACCCGCGAATATTTTTAATTTCGGCCAAATTACAAATTCATTAAAAGAGCTCTGCTGACCATTACAATCAGCCAATCGAATATGGAGCAAAATAGGTACAATATAAAAGATCTTAGTTATTCTCCTTATAAGTCGGAATGGTATCTTGACAGAAAAAGTTCGTGCCTAAGAAAATCGCGAGAAAATATAAAGTTTTTCTGCACCATGCAACAATATGAGTTGAGGATATTACATACAGGTCGCAACTATCGTGCGATACTCACGAGATTTTGCATAGGGTTAGCGTTAGGGTCAGAACAAAGCCTATGTTTGAAGATGTACATTTTTGGTTCAAATTAAAATTTTCCAAAAAATTAAAATTTTCCTGATTTTGCAGTCGCTCTACAGGTCACAATTGAAAATCAATCGATACGGAATTTTGAATGAGAAGAGAGTAAACAACAGGCAGAAAGTCTAGCATTTTGGATGACCATTGTTCCAAATTTAGTGCAATTTAGACACAAAATTACAGATTTCCATAACTACCTACACAATACAGGGTGAGATGAAAAAGCTCTTCGCCGGGAATTGGCCAAAATACCGCAGAGCAACATTAGGGCATCATGTGACGGTTTCATTGGCCGTTGAAGGCCATAATTCGTGCCAAAGGTGACCATTTCGAATAAATCTAAACTTATTCCAAAATTTGATGCAATTTCCGATAAATTTTGCTTTCTCTATTAACATTGTTGTTCCATTTGTAACTCCTCCAAATACTCATGTCAGACCCAACAAAGTAATAACCTTATCTTTGGTACGAATTGAGAAAGTAGGCTATAATTTCGTAAGTGGGCCATGTCTGTCCACGTTTTCTTGTAGCCCCCTAAAAACTGTATCTTCCAATATTCGACTTTTTGATGAATTTAGCGGCATTATTTACCGGAATCGTTTCAAATTTCGTATTTAAAGTTCGACGTTCAATTGGAAGTTTATATGAATCAATGAAAATTAATGACCATTCACAATAGTATGTATATAATTTTGCTTCAGAAATATACTACACCAAATGATTTTGTCTAGCTGGACTCAAAAATCTTGGGGGGAAACACAAATGTACGAACTTAATATGAAGGGTGATTTTTTAATTGCTATAGGAACGTTATTAAAAAAGACATACAATTTTCCAAATACGTGAAATCTATGTTTGAATTAACAGTCCCGAAATGCGCCTAAATGGTCCGAATTAAGTATACTCTTTAAAACATTTCGTTTGGCATCTTATCACGTCTTTATATAGCCCCATATAAAAGTGTTTTTTTTTTTTTTTTTTTTTGAAAATTTTCAAATTCCTTGATAATGGTGAAGGGTGTTAAAATTTCGGACCGGCCTAACTTAGCTACTTTTTATACCCTCCACCATATACTAAGTTTGTCATTCCATTTGTAACACCTCAAATTATACATTTCAGACCCCACAAATTATATATATTCTTGATCAGCATAAAATTCTATGTCGATTTAGCGATGTCCGTCCGTCTATCCGCCTGTCTAAATCACTCCAGCTTCTGAACGAAATGAAGTAGGTTGATAAATTTTTACTCAAACGTATATTATGCCTGCAGAATTTTTGGTATTGAAAATAAGTGGTCCACATTTTGGTATAGTCCCCATATAAGAGTAACTCTGGATATTCGGTATTTTGATGATTTTAGCGACATTATTCACCGGAATTCTTTCAAATTTGGTATTTGATGTTCGCAATGGATGCTACAGCCTACCACAGAAAATTGTCTATGCAGCTCCACGTCTTCGTATAGCCCCCATAAATCGGTACCTCCCGATATTCGGTATTTTGATGATTTTAGCGACATTAATCAACGGAATTGTTTCAAATTTGGTATTTGAAGTTCGTAATGGATACTACAGCCTAATACAGAAAATTGTCTGTGCTGGTCCACAGAATTTTTAACGGATTTTATTGTTTTTGAGAATATCCAAATTCATTCCAAATGGTGGAGGGTATTCAAAGCCCGGCCGTTCGGCATTCTTATTTATTTTTTTTTTTAATTGAGATTTAATTTTCTTTTCTTTTTTTTTTTGAAAAATTTTCAAATTTGTTAAAGTTCTGCCCGGCCAAACTTAGCTGCTTTGTTACTTGTTATTGATATAGATTATGAAACAAATAATGTTAAAAATTAAACACATAACTCCCCAATCGTTGACATTTATATTTATTTTAAACACTCTCACATAAAATCAACATTCAAGCCATTTGAAGAGAAACACATGAATGAGTGTCTCTGTAAAACAATTTTGTTGCAAAATGATATTTTGTTCTACGAAAACAAAAGCCACTTTGGCAAAGCAGATTTTCTTCCATTGGCTTTCGGCAGCATTCATTCGCTTTTTCCCTTTGCGACGAAATGACTTAAAGGTAATAATACATTCAACAAGGTGTGTGTTTGTGTGCGTGTGAGTGTGAGTGGAGTACCTTGAGAAGTGCCTTGCCACTCCAATTCGGAAGACAAAACGATACTGTCACCGTGCTGTTTATAGTTGATGCTGTTGCTTTGCTTATAAATTGCCAATTATTGAAGATTTTGTTGTGTGTTAAGAAAACGGCACGTATCGCCAAACATTTCAAGTCAGCCAAGTTATGTGTATTTGGTATCTACGACACGACGACAACGACTGCTATCTTCAATTTCAAAAAGCGATAGCGATCATTGACACGGAAACAAAGCCAAAAACAACGATGAGAAGAAAAGGCACAGCCAAGGAGACCATCAGCGTCATTGAAAACGGAACAATAACAGCAATATCTATCTGCAGGTTTCCTCACGATTTGGCCTTTTTTGTGTGTGTTTTTTTTTTTTTTTTTTTTTGCTGCTCCGGCTGCTCTTTTTGCCATCCTCTTTACAAAAGCTGAGTAAAAATATTAAATGCATATTTATCGAGATACAGCACGTTTCTAATAAATGCTCATAATATTGGCGCGTCTTTTCATTATTCATGCAACATGGTTCACGATGTGCCAGCACCAAGTTTCTTGGCTGAGTGAGTCAATGGTGGTTGTTGTTGTAGTCGTTGCTTGGTTGCCTGGCTGACTGGATGGTTGCACAAGTCGTTAAAAGGACAAACTGGAAATGTTACTTGAACTTCTTAAAGGTAAATGGGAGGGAAAGAAAAAGGGTGGATGTGGCAAGGATGTCATTGATGTTAATGGCTGTTGTGTGTTCCGTTGTTAAAGGGCCACAAGTACTCTTTTCTACTCTTTGCTGTTTTACACGGCGTGATGTTGAATGGCTGAGAATGAGATCATCAGGTTGTACATAATGGACTTTGAATGCAACTATGAGAACATTCTGCTTCATTACTTTATGAAATTTCGTTTTCTCGAAAAAAAAAAAATTTCTAAGAAAAGAGGGAAAAAAAAGGAAGAGATATATGCAATTCGTATGCCCACAGAGGCTATTGTGAATATTTGAGATCTTCTTTCTTTTTGTCCACCAAAATTTTTAAACTACAAAAACCGAATAATTCATTACATGGTGATGTAAACAATCTACCTTTCACATTACTAGTTGGAAAACAGAAACGGGAGTTCAAAAGTCGGGCGAGGTCGACTTTATGATACCCTACACCACTATACATATTTATTAGAGTTACTCGTTATATATGTAGGGAAGTTATGTGCAGTTATAATTTGAAATCGATGGGAACTAATATATAGGAGGTATACTCTGTTCTGAATCGATTTCCACTTAATTAGTCTGAACCGATTTTCACCAAAGTAAAACCTAAGTGAGCTGATATTGCACTTTTGGTGCACAGAAATGTGAAATCGTATGAAGATATACAGGGTGAGATTAAAAACTGCAACAAAGTCAAACGCCAAATTTTTAAAATTTTTTTTTAATTTTATTGAGTGAAAGCAAACAAGTTAAAAAGCTGTAAGTTCGACCAGGCCGAAGTTCTAATACCCTCCACCATTTGGTACAAATTTGGCAATTTTTAAAAAAATAAAATCCAATTTTTCAGAATTTTTAAATTCTATTAAAACCTTAAAAATACCGAATGTAACCAGATATTGGGGTCTATTTCGTGGACCTGCATAGGCACCTCTTGTCATAAACTATTACAATACTAGAATGCGAAACTTGAAAAAACAATCTGTTTAAAATGTAGCTAAAATCATCAGAATACCGAATTAAGGGAGGTACCATGGGAGTTATAAAACGTGCACCTGCACAGACAATTTTCTGACAAAGGCTGTAGTATTCATTACGAACTTCAAATAAAAAATTTTAAATAATGCCGGCAAATAATGTCGCTAAAATCATCAAAATACCGAATCATAGGCTGTAGTATCCATTACGAACTTCAAATACCAGATATGAAACAATTCCCGTGATTAATGTCGCTAAAATAATAAAAATACCGAATATCGGGAGGTACCGTTATAGGGGGGCTATACGAAAACTTGGACCTACATGATCCATTTTCAATCCCAAAAGTCCAGCAGACATAATACACATTTGAATAAATTTTTTATCAATTTACTTCATTTATTTCGGAAGCTAGAGTGATTTCCACAGACGGATAGACGGACGGACATTGCTAAATCGACATAGAATTTTATGCTGATCAGGAATAGTTATACTTTGAGGGGTCTAAAATATATATTTCGAGGGGTCTAACATAAGTATTACAAACTGAATGACAATCTAAACATACCCTCCATACTATTTTGGAGGTTATAAAAATGTCCGAAAAAGCATCAAATTTTAGAATAAATATAGATTTGTTCGAATCGGTCACTTTGGCCAATGAAACCGTCACACGCTGCCCGAATGTTGCTCGGCGGTATTTAAACCCATTCCCGGCGAAGCGCTTGCTTTAGGTGATCGACACATTGGTATTTTTTAGTGCCAGCCTTGCTTTTCAAAATACTCCAGACACAATAGTCTAACGGATTTGTATCCGGAGATTTTGGTGGCCATTGTGCACTGGAAATGAAGCGAGGAAACTAATTTTGTAACCATTCTTGCGCGGCGCGTGCTGAGTGCGATGGTGCCGAGTCCTGTTGGAATGTCCAAGGTCTGCGGCCAAAATGTTTGCGTGCCCAAGGCTTTAATGCAGCCTCCAGAGTATTTTCGCGATAATATTCGACTTTTATTCTGAAGCCACGGTCGATTAATACGAGCGGATAGCGACCATCGGCTGTTATTGCGGCCAACACCATCACCATGGCTGGCACTTGAGTTCTGGTGGCCAATCGAAGATGCAGATTTTCATCTGCATCTCTTTGGCAAGTAAACACGATCATTTTGTTTGTTTACAAACTGCTGGACAACGAATGTTTTCTCATCGGAAAAACCAAATTTGGCAGTTGACCATTCACATTTAAATGCTGGAGTGCTCTAACGATTGCCACTTGTGGTTTTCCAGCCAAATATAAAGAAATCACACTATCACGCTTGAATTCCATCACGAAAATATATTTTTTTTGGAAAATTCTCACCAAAATGCTTTTGTACGCTTGTAAGCAATATAGTGACCTGTCACTGGAATAATTTTAACAGTTGTCGGACGAGTGTTTTAGAAATGACAGCAGTCTGAATTTAGTTGCAGTTTTTTTAAATCACCCTGTATGTTCAGGTCGCAATTGTCGTCCGATCTTCACGAAATTTTGAATAGGGGATCAAAATAGAAGCCAATTGTTTTGCAAGATGTCCGCAAAATGTTTAGGTTTTAAGGAAATAACAAATACATTAAAAGCGCATCTATGATCTTTAGATTAATGATAAATTGGTTGACGAATATAGAAAAATATCGGACATACAGGAAATTATAGGGAGGAATTTAATTTTTCAGATATTATTTTGATAACCCATTAGCAGGACATAGAGCAAATGCAAATGCTACGAAGATTTGTATGTCCCTGTGGTTTCAGTCAAAAGCCAAAATAATATTTTTGCAGGACTGTGTGCCATTATTTTAAGAATGTAATGAAAATAATTAAAAAAGCAGATAAGTTTGGCTGGGCCGAACATTTAATACCCTCCACCATATGGAAGAAACTTGAGAAGTTTCAACGAATTCCGAAAAATGCCAGGTAAATTATGACCTTTATACAAAGGCTATACGAAGTCGTGAACCTGCATAAGTAATTTTTTGTCATAGGCTGTACCCATGACAGACTTCGAATACGAAATTTGAAACAATTCGAGTTAATGATGTCGTTAAAATAATAAAAATACGGAATTTTAGGAGTTGCCGTTATATGGGGCCTATAGGAAGACGTGGACTTGCGTAGGAAAGTTTTAAGCATAAGCTGTAGTACCCATTACAAACTTCGAATACGAAATTTAAAACAATACGGGTGAATGATGTCGATAAAATCATAAAAATACGGAATATAGGGAAGTACCGTTATATGGGGCAATGTCAAAACGTGGACCGACCGAATTTTATCATTCTGTCTCGATTCGTTCGAAAGATAACATGATTTCAACAGACAGACGTACATGCAGACAGACAGATAGACGCTAAATCGTCTTATAATTTTATGCTGATCAAGAATATATATACTTTTTGGGTCTATCATGAATACTTCGAGGAGTTACAAACGGAATGACAAAGCTATTATACCCTCCACAGAATTGTGGATACCCAAAATGCAAGAATTCCAAAGAATCTTATTGTGTTGCCTACCATCTTTATTCATGTTACATTCCGATGTAAACTTTTAAAATGCCGACGAACGTATCAACCATTATTAGCTTCACTTCTATAATCTGCTGAATTTTTTGCTGTAGTTATTCTTTGCCTTGCCCAGTGCTATTGTCGCTGAATTTCAGAAAACAAATCAAAATATATCAAATAAACCAACAAATAAAATCGAAGTTGTTTGGAAAATTCTTTGAATTCGCTGCGCTCAAAAAGTTGCCCACCGGCATTAATGGACTTTAAAATTACAAATATGCCCCTTTTTGCAATTTTCGTATGTGTGAGTGTATTCACGTCTGCAATTTGTTTCCCCCTCCACACCAACACCGCCACCACCACCGCACACAACAAATCTCTGTTACAGCATTGCCGCTATAGCCAATTAGCTAATATGCCTGCAGTCTGGTTGAAAGCAGTGGCATTTCACAAAAAAGAATCCCTATCAGCTGTGTGGGTTTTGTGTGTGTTTTCATTTCGTTGTTGTTGGTGTTGTTGTTGTTATTGCTTTTTTCATCAAACAAATAAGCAAACAGCCGACAACGGGAGAATATGGTCATTCGTGAATATGGATTTTCTTTTATAGACAAATTTAATTCATTTAAAAGTTACTCTGTAAATGGGAGATGTGAAATAAAATATTAAAAGTTGAAATAGACGATGGCGATGTGTTGAAGTTATTATTGGAAGCGAAATATTGCAAATATATTTGAATATCAAGATCTTTAATATTTAAATTTCAAATATAAATTTAAAATACTTGGAAAAATCGGGGTCATATTTGTAATCGTGGTACCTTAATTAAATATAAGTTAACAAATCAAATAGCTGGAAATTTAATAAAAAAAAAATTATATAATCCCAGCTGCCATCATTAAAGGTCTGCTACAAACTTGAAATTTTTGTAATAACCTGAAAAGAATTTAAAAACTAGCATGTCTTTAACCTAAACACAACATGCCTTATCAGCCGAACTTAATTTAGTTTAATTAACTTAAATGAGGCTACACAAAGGTAAATATATGTTCTTTGTTCACACCCCACCCCAGACAATATTCAGGACTATTCTATAGACAAATTTTATAATTTAAGCCAGTAAGGAAAATTCAAAAGTCGGACGGGGCCGGCTATATGATACCCTACACCACAATGCGTATTATTAAAATTTGGCTTTAGAGCAGTTATGGTTTGATTTCAAAGGGAACTAATTTATGGGAGGCATATCCAATTCTGAATCGATTTTCGCTAAATTCGACGGAGACATTTTAATTGTTATACCCAATAACATTGCTGTAGAGTGCATGAGAAGGATTATATTAAACAAGTACTTTGAATACCCTCTACCGTTTGGAACGAATTTAGTAATTCTCAAAAACAATAAAATCCCTTAAAAATTCTGTTAAAATCTTAAAAATACAGAATTTAGCTGTATTACACGAACCTGCATAGGTAACATTAGTCATAAGCAACTACAATATTTAAATGCGAAACTTAAAAATATCGCTTATAATGTCGATAAAATCAAAATACCTAATATCGGGAGGTACCGTTATATGGGGGCTATAAAACGTGGACCTGCACAGAAAATTTTCTGTCTTAGACTGTAGTATCCATTACGAGCTTTAAATAGCAAATTTGAAACAAT